TTTCGTTGAATCTCAAACGGAGAAATGAGCAAGCACAAGTATTATTGTCATTTACTTAATTTGGGTGATTTTTTCACGGCTGTACATGGTCTCCACGTCGCAGTTTTGCCCAGTCTTTCTCAACACCTGTAAAAACCTACCCTCGAGTAAATATATACTCGCTATATTGTGATATCAACAATTGAAATAAGGGTTAGGCTTCTTTCTCAGTTTGAGATTAGATTGAAGCATGTTATTAGGCTTGTCAGAATTTATTATGAGTGTTATTTTAATAATTTAAATAATTAAATGTGTAGAATTTGTTAAATATTTTATTCTTGTAAAAAATTTCATTAATTAGATATTGATAGTGTGACATTTCAAATATTTAATTAACACTATGTTATTATAATAATAATAATAATAATAATGATAATAATAAAATAATACATCTAATTACATTGCTATACGTGCTAAGGATATAAATTAATTTAGCATTAATTTATCAAAAATATGATGAATAGATTTACTTTGGGGCAAGATAAACAGTAATTAAATTGAGAAGATTTGCTGGAGAGATGGATTGGGCCACCTGTGCCATTTAGCAGCTTAGAGGGATGAGTCATCAAATTTGAGGCATCATTACAAGGTGAGTCATCACCTAGGGCTTGTGTATATTGAGGGCCTGTGAGAGCCAGTAAGGGAACTAAGGGGAAAAAAAAAGAAAGATAAGCAAGAGAATAGTCTGGGAAAGTTGGCAAAAAATAAGAGGGAAATGGTAAGAATTAATATAGAGGTGAGTTACATTATATCTTGAGTTATCATAATATATTTAATGTATATTTTGAGTTATCATAATTTATTTTATGTAAATTATGATTTATAAATTATATTAATATTTCAATTACTTTGATTATTTTCTGAATTCTATTTGTTTAAATTGAAATCCATGGATATGGTTATTTAAATTTTAGAAATCATTTGACAATGATTTTGTAAACAATTATTTTCTATAAGTACCACCATGGGAGTCCCATGCCTTGGGGAACTTAAATAAACCATTAGCCTCTGATTGGTCATCTTGTGGCGCTCTGTTTGTCATGGATCCATTGATCTTTGTTCTGTTCTGTATCGTAGTTATAGTTATTTATTTACATAATTTATATATTTCAGTTTCTACCACTTAACTAATTTGGTTATTCAAACTAAGTTATGCTAATGGTTTTAGCTTAAATAACTATCCATGATTATTTTATGTCCCTTAAACTCTTTGCATAATATTTCTCACTCTGTTGTGTGCTTATAGCTATTACCTTTTCAGGTGATGAGATGTAAAGGAGACTCGTAACTTCGTATAGTGGAACTCGCACAAGAATTTAATGCTGATCTATTATTTTGTTTTTCTTTTATTTTCTCCCTTTTGTTTTTTTTTTTACTGATGGCTGGTCACTGAACAATAAAATAATAAAAGCCTTATATATGTATTTTCTTTTATCAAAATGGTAGAATGGAGTTAATTTTGTATTTCATTTTTTTCTTACTTCCATTCTACCTCCGCTTGCGCCATTTAATTTGTTAAGATTATAATTAATTAGTAAGTTGTGATTCCAACCTTAAACCCCTGGAACGGGGTCGTGACAGATAGACATTTGATCAAATCATATTTCTATAACAGTAAATATAATTTTCAAAATAAATTGTTAGTAAAAAATCTGATCTAATCAAGTAGTTATCGATATCCGATCAATATAATTTTTGTAGAAATGAAATACTTAACAAACTCTATACGTTAACGGTTTAGATCATTGAAAGATAACCTGTAGTAAGCTCCATGGACTCAAACAACACAGTCCAATCCATTATGTAGACTGGAAAGAATTTGAATCCTTAAAAAAATGATAAATTATAAATACACCTGTTAAAATTTGTTTAAGATATGAATTATTTTGTGTGATTTAAAAAATTACAAATATCTTATTGTTAGAATTTTCAATTTAACAGAATTAATTAAAAAAATAAAATTTTTAACTGCTCTTTTATACAATAATAAAATTACTTGAATTATTAATTAAAATAAACTTATAACATTATTAAAAATTATTAATTGACTTGATCATTTATTAATAAAAGGGACAATTTGTTATAAAATTAGAAATTTCAAGAGGCATAATGTAATTTTTAGAATTACAGAGGGTAATTTGTATTTTAAAAAATTTCAAGATGTGTATTTATAATTTATCCAAAAGAAGAGAGTAAATTACTATAATCTCTTCTCGTGTTTGATGAAAATATGATAATTGTATGATTTTTTTAAAAAATTTATTTCACATAACATTTAGTTTTATTTTCATCAATAATTCATTAGCTATATGAAAGAAAAAAAAAATTATCATATTTTTTATATTAAAATATATATTTTCGTAATTTATCTTGTTGTGTTTTCATACAATTTGATTTCTTTCACCATATAAGAAGGATGTTAGTTAATTCCGAAATATTCTATATTATATTTTTAGTTAATGACGCAGTTGAAAATTACCATATTAACCTATTTTTGTTAAATAATTAATTGTAAAAATATACTATTCGGTATTAATTATAAGTTAATTTTTATGATTATAATTTTTTAATTATGAGCCAAATCACAATCCAACATTGTTATTCACTTTTTGGAAAAAAAAAAATAATAATAATAATAAATTTAAATAAATTACTTAGAGAAAATGATGAAAGTCCATCCCAAAAGGGTGTAATTAGAGCTGTGCAAAATACTGTTCAATCTGCTAAAATTGCACCGATCTGTATCAATTCACAATGCTATATCCACTACCTGCGGATTAAACTTTAAAATTTATAATTCGCCTTCGAAATCTCTCCGCCCTGCTATAATTAATACACATATATTTTTTAATTTCTAATGAAATATCAAAGTGAAAATGACTGTGAAAGAGATTTAAGATGTAAAATTTATTACAAATTAGTATTATATATATGAAAAATATTATGCAAATTAGTGTTATATATTATGCAAATACTTGATAATTGGTTATAATTTTTTCAATTCGTCAATCTGCCCAAAACCGCCCAAATCGTAATTTACCAATCCTCCAAACTGTTAATCCACCATTCGATTTATAATTTTACTTTCAAATTGTCCGAATCGCACCGCAGACATCTTAGGTAGAACGTATTAGATCCAAGGCAAAAATTTTAATTTGTGATAAAGATATGCTGGAAAAGTTGGTAGGAAAAACTCGTTGGCAATCGAAAAAGTTATCAGCAACAACATGCGGTGGTGGTGAGGTAGAGAAATATATGAAATTCAACAGATGAGGCGCTGAATGAGTAACATGTGTTACATTTTAATAGATAGTTAATTTGGTGAATTTTAACAGATAGACAAATAGGTTGATTTTAAAAGATAGATTAATTTCAATAGATAAACAAATATATTGATTATAACAGATAATTGTCTCTTGGGATAAATTGTGTCATTTTGACCCAAAGAGATTCAAGTTTGAGACTAATGTCCAAAAAAATTCAGAAATAGACTTATGGGCTGAAACCCCATTATACTAATAGCAGCCTTAAAAACTATCAATAAAGAAAATAATGTTTACAATTTGGGTAAATTATAAATACATCCTTTGAGGTTTGATTAAAATACAAATCACTCCTTGTAGTTTTGAAAATTACATTCCACCTCCTAAGATTTCTAATTTCATAACAAATCGCCCATTTTATTAATAAATCATCAAATCAATTAACAATTTTTAATAATGTTATAAATATGTTTCAATTAACAATTTAGGTAATTTTATTATTATATAAGAGAGTACTTATGAATTTTATTTTTTTAATTAATTCTGTTAAATAAATTTTTTTAACAATGGGGCGTTTGTAATTTTCTAAACTACAGAGAACAATATGTACTTTAAGCAAATCTCAGGGGTATATTTGTAATTTATCTTTACAATTTCAATACAATTTGTATATATTTTAAAATAATTTTATATACTAAAACGAAAAACAATTTTATACTAAAACAATATATACTAAAACAATTATATATATTATTTTTGGGAAACACTATGGTATTTATAACTAAAACGTAAAATGATATGATTTTTAAAACGAAAAATGATATAACTTTAATTTTCTAAGTCATAACTAAAAAAAAAAAATCATAATTAAACACAACATGAGATATAACTAAAAAATTCATGAGTCATAATTAAAATAATATCATAAGTAAAAAAAAATATATAACTAGTAATACATATAATACACTGTTTTTTAAAAAATGTACATTAAAATTTTCCATTATTTTTACATAATTTTCACATACTTTTTACACAATTTACCCAACAATTTCCCTTTCTTAAAAAATCAAAATACTCAATTTATTTATTTATTTTTTTTGGGGGATGACTCTCATAGGATTGAATTGTGACTTTTATATAAACTCACAAATGTCATAACTTATATATAGTACATTATACATATATATATATATATATATTGGATATATATATTTCTTGAGGGTGAATTACAATCATTTCTCATTTTGACATTTTAACCTAGATTTTTTTTATTTTGATCTTTTATGTTTACAATTCTTCTCATTTTAACTTTTTAAGTTTGATTTTCTCTATTTTAATCCTTCATATTTGTGATTCTTCTCACTTTATTTTAAGTATATTTAAGCTAGATACATTTATAATGTAATAATGTTTATGAATAAATTAATTTTTTTTTTACTAATGACTGAAAAAAAAAAATTTGTTTTTTAATTTTTACATATTTAATAAATTTTTTATATTATACATAGAGTTGATCTGTTGGTAATATAACAGATTCTGTTAAGTTTTTTTTATACGAAAGTTAGTACATGAATAAAATGGGAAGGATTAAAAATATGAAGAATTAAAGTAAAAAAATTGTACATATGAAATGAAAGGACAAAAAGGTCAAGAGAAAGGACAAAAGGAGGGAAAGTGTAATTTAGCCATTTCTTGACTATTCTGGTTGGGTGGGTGTATGCAAACTCGTTAAATTGACTATTCTGGTTGGGTGTCTGTCTGCAAACTCGTTAGATTCAAGGAGTCCAAAATTTCCTCCAAAAGGAAGGCCCATGTTCTCCTTCCGTCTGGGTGGTCTCGTATCCAGCTGATCTTGTCTCTTCTTGCCATCATTTCTTTTGGGATCTGCAATTGGGTTTTTGATAAAATTCATTCATTCATTTCAATTCTGGGTCACAATTCCAAGAAACCAACTGGGTAGTCTTGAATTTATTAGCTACATGTGAGTTCTACCATCTATTTCTTTTCCCTTGTTTGCATATGAGAACTGATATGCTTTGAATCATTGCTTTGCTTTGCCTTTTGATGGTATGCGAAAATTTGGTATGTGGTCTTTGTGATTATCGCCTGTTTTTATGTGCTTAGAACTTTGATTTTTAGTTTTATATGGAGCTATTTCATATGTAGTTCAATAGATTGTTTAAATTGGTCTATTGGTTTTATGGGCTCAGAGAGTGGAGGAATTTTCTGGGAAAATTTTAATGGAGACAGAATGATTGTCTTTCAATAATTTGAGATTATGTGCAGTAAATATTTTTAATTCTGTTGCTTAAAATGCTACCTATGATTTTTTAGGGTCCTTATTGTTTGTGTTGAAAATGGTATGTTTATGATTTCAAGGTCCTTACTATGTGCTTGAATCTTCATTATTACATGCCAAATAGTAAATATGGAAACGCTTACTGCATCAATTATTTTGTGAAAACAATTATTACTACATAAATTCTTGTTGTGAATTATTTACTTCTTCTTCTTCTTCTTCTTCTTCTTTTGCTTTTTTTTTTTTTTTTTCCATCTTTGTTATTTGCTAAAAACATTATATGTTTCTGATTTAGCTATTATTTACCCATTCTTCCATGTTGGAGCAGAGGCAATCTGGAAGTCGGTGCAATTTTCCAAGATCAAATGAGAGCAAACAGAGGCGTTCGATGGCAACTAAGCGGTTTTTTCGGGGGGGGGGGGAAGATGTATGCCTTACTATCCATTTTAATATAGCCATAAAACACACATATTGGTTTATAGTATCTGGTGTATAGTTCCGACTTAATAAAGACAGCCTTGTTGTTTATTAAAAATGCCATGTCTGTGATTTGAAGGCCCTTTTGTTAGTGAAAACACTTAATATTTTGTTATTCCATTATCTATCAATATCTATTTTTCAAGTTTGGGGATGACATGACATGAAATTCATATTTATAGTAGGTGGCAAAGGTTTTGCACTTAGAAGCTTTTGAAAGGGATTTCCTTATTGTTTGCTTGGGAATGCACGAATGGCTGGAAAAAAGAACATCTCTCAATACCGAGAGAGGCTGGACAAGACATTGGCATCTTATGACCTTGCAAATGAGGAATCCCTTAAGGTCCTTGTGAAGAATCAAGTCCTACGATCATCGCAATGTGAACTTGAAGGTTAGTCATTCTTCAAATATTCGTTTCACTTTCACTTTTATGGTTCTAATGTAATTTGACACCTGTTAGTTGTTAAGTCTATATCCATGTGGAAAAGCTATGCTAATTGTAAATATATGTCTTTTGCAGAATATATCGAGAATATAGTCGAAAAAAGAACTAAAGAAGTATCCAATCTTCTTCAGATGTTGAAGAGTGCGTCTACAGGTGATGATGATGTGTCCAAAACTAAAGAGACACCTCGTCGTGGTTGGAAAGTATGCTATCAGTATAAATAATCTTCTCAGTCCCATGATTACTTTTCTTTCTGCGGTCATGGTTTTTCCTCTTTAAGAAAAAGAACATGGCTAACAAATAAACTCATTATATTACTGCTCTTGATTCCTCTGTTTGTGATTGGGCTGTGTATAATAAAGCCATCTTCGTAGACCCTTTTTTCTTTCAAGATTTACAACTAGACAAATTTGGGAAACTTTTTAACAATTTTCTTTCTTTCTTTCTTTCTTTCTTTCTTTCTTTTTTTTTTTTTTTTGGAGACTTGACATAATGATGATGATTGTTCTAATATAACTCGAAATTGTGAAGGATTATATCATCAAGGAGTATTTTTCCCCGTGTTTCTTTTGGGATTTTGATCATGACATTGTTGTTCAGTCAATGTATGTGTGTGTGTGTGTGTGCATGAACACACACACATACATGGAGGGAATGGTGATACTAACCTAGTTGAAATTATCATACTTCTTTTGGCAGTTAAAGCAAGACACTGAAGAGTATCGTGTCATGTATCAAGAAGGACCAGAGGGGACCCCCTTTCATACATTACTCGTTGAAGGTTATGTAGATGGGCCTCTAGATGTTTGTAAGTTAAATTGAATGCTTAAAAAGTTTTTACCGTCGACTATTAATTTAAGCAATTACTTCAGATCATTAATGATTAATCTTCAAGGGTCACTTTCAAACTTCATTGCAGGTTTATGCATCTCATGTGAGTCAACCCTCTACACGAAATGGTGAGAATTGCTTCCACAATTGCTGACGCTTTCAGTTCAAACATATAATAGTTACGCAAAATGTTGTTTAAGTTCCTAAGGAATTTATGGCGAACAATTTGCCAATATGCTGTACATGCTTGACCATTTCTTCATCTTCTTAGAACAAATTGTAGTTTTGGTATTTTTTCTTTATATGTATAGTTTTTGTATAAAGATTGCGGCCCTCTTGGCACTTCAAAATATACTTAACAAAAATAAAAAGTTCTGTGGTATGCTATGTTGGTGAAGGTAACTCCTACTCTCTCTCTCTCTCTCTCTCTCTCTCTCACATTCTTGCTGCGCACACACACAAGAAGAAGAAAGATACCTTCAAAGAAATGATTGTTTGTCATGGAATCCCCCAGTCTAACATAAATCAGCAGTTCATATAGCATCCAAATCACTATTCTCTTCTATTAGAAAGTGTTTTTGTTGCTATTACCCAATCAAATGACAGTTCAAAGAGCAAATATTGAAAATGATAATTTTTCTCTTATGAATCATTAAATTCCACATATGATTGTTCTGATGCATCATAACAATTCTTTGAAATGTTTTTTTGCAAGAAATGATTGAACGGAGAACATATGTAATGTCTTGAACTATGCATTGGTGGCAATGGTGATGCCAATCGGTACTTAGTGGAATGGAAGTGACGATGAAGGATGGTGATAAAGTGATGCTACTAGAGAGGATGGGCAGTGGAAATGATTGTGGAAGTTACTAGGTTGCAGGGTTGTTAAGAGTTTGATGGTTTTGTTAAGGTGGTGGCAATGGTGGTGTTGGGGTAGTAGTTTTGGTCATATTGATCGTTTTTTAGTTTTCAAATTATAATCAGGATACTTCATAATAAAGTGTAGCATATTAGGTAGGGGTTAAATGTGATGATAGTGGTATTCATCGAACTTCCTATAATTGCTTAGTGGGATCTTTATGAAGTTGAATGGAGTAGGAAAAAACTAAAATACCGATTAGCCGTTACATTGAGAAATGGAAGACAATTGGTTGGTGAAAAATGAATACTTTCATATGATGTCAAACCTTTCTCACTTTATTATCTGCATTGTCAAAGTTGTATATGAACACATGTACAGACATTGTAATTAGAAATAATGCATTGCTATAAGGTTGAAGTTGTATCAGTTGATGGGGGAATGAGTTTTTATTTATTTATTTGTGATGAGCAATATTCTAATTAAAGCACAACATATGAGGGGAAGGGAAAGAAGAGCATAAATGATTTCTTTTATCTTTTAGATTCAAATCTAACAGTTCACACCTTTAAAATTCTATGCCATCATTAATTGCCATTGTGTTATGATGGGTCTGGTGTAAATTATGCATAGCTAACCATGGTAATAAGTAGATAGATGTATGTCATGTGTGCACAAATATACTTGTTTTGGGTTGAACTCAATTTTCTCTTAGCTGGTCTAGAGAAATTCTTTGGTTTTGGATTGGACTAGTGCTCTATTTCAGAGAAACTTGGGTTGGTCTAAAGAAATTCTCTGGTTTGGATTCAATTTTCTCTAGGTTGAACTCAATTTTCTATGGGTAGTGGTTTTGGTCATATTGATCGTTTTTTAGTTCTAAAATTATAATCGGGAAACTTCATAATAAAGTGTAGCATATTAGATAGGGGTTAAATGTGATGATAGTGTTATTTATCGAACTTCCTATAATTGCTTAGTGGGATCTTTATGAAGTTGAATGGAGTAGGAAAAAACTAAAATACCGATTAGCTGTTACATTGAGAAATGGAAGACAATTGGTTGGTGAAAAATGAATACTTTCATATGATGTCAAACCTTTCTCACTTTATTATCTGCATTGTCAAAGTTGTATATGAACACATGTACAGACATTGTAATTAGAAATAATGCATTGCTATAAGGTTGAAGTTGTATCAGTTGATGAGGGAATGAGTTTTTATTTATTTATTTGTGATAAGCAATATTCTAATTAAAGCACAACATATGAGGGGAAGGGAAAAAAGAGCATAAATTATTTCTTTTATCTTTTAGATTCAAATCTAACAGTTCACACCTTTAAAATTCTATGCCATCATTAATTGCCATTGTGTTATGATGGGTCTGGTGTAAATTATGCATAGCTAACCATGGTAATAAGTAAATAGATGTATGTTGTGTGTGCACAAATATACTTGTTTGCAATACTAACAGTAAATGAAGGTAACTAAATTTGGGGAAGAAATGTAGTAACTTGAACGTGGAATGTGGAATCACACTTCATTATGCACTTTTTTTCCCCTACCAGGTGGCCTCAGACTACTATTCCTACATTCAAAATTATCACTTCCGAATGTTTGCAAAAGGTCCGAATTGGTGAACAGATATCATTAGTGAGGTATGTTATACTTTATAATATTTTGCTTATCTTGAGTTATTTTAGCTTCTTACTTTCATTTTGGCATATTCATCTAACTCTTTGAAAGAAAGGATGAAGGTTTCATGGCCATTGTCAGCAAGAGAGGCTGTTGTGCACTTCTTTGTGTTTGAATACTTTCAAGATGGGCTGATTGTTGTGCTTCTCAACTCGGTAGTCTCTGCAATTTTCATCAAGCATGTGTTTAGTTAATTTAATTCCTTTGATTTGGAAAATCTGGCCACATCTAGATGATAGACCTAACTAGAAGTGTCCTATCGTGTATGTATGCTTTCAGATATCTGATTTGGAGAGTGTTGATATAAGAACTCATGGGTTCTCCAAAGATGGGATACCTGATGCCCAAGATGTGGTGAGGATTGATGTGGTGGGAGGATTTGCTTTACAAAAAGTGACTGAAGACAGAAGCTACTTTAGGTAAGTTCGCTAAAATCACAAATCAAAAAGGCGATTGAGTGGGTGTTTGGGTTTTTTTTTTTGTTTGGTGGCATTTTTGTTGACCCTTTTTTTTTTTTTTTTTTTTGTTTGTTTGTTTTAAATGATTTTTTATTTTATTTTTATATTTTAGTCAATTCTCTAAACAAAAATATACAGACATTTTTATTCAGTTATTCGATTATTTTTAGTGAATTTTTTTATATAGTAGTCTTTTTTTTTTTTATTTTTATTTTTTAGATTCATCTACACAAGGCTGATTGGAAAAGTAAAAAAAGTTGACATAATTTTTAAAAAAGATACAAAAATGTTTGGGAAAAATGTGTTTTTTTGAGGTTTTTGCTTTGGGTATAAGAAAATTTGAAGTGAGTAAAGATCCAAGGATATTAAGGCCAGACAAAGTCCGTCATGATCCTGGCTAGATATATCATTAATACACCTTAAAGATTAAAAAACAGAGACACCAAAAGTATCTGCGCCGATTATGATCAAGCAGATAGGGGAGCAAAGACCAATCCATGGTTAGAGCAGCAGTCGAAGGCATTCAGGTCATCTCACGGGTTTTAGAACTCCATAAACCTAAAGCAGACTAAACACATGGAATATTTTCACTTGATGTCCTCAAATAAAGTAGTGCTACTATTTCACATTGTTAGCTTGATATACATTGTTGAGCCCGTTTCATAACAAGTTAAGTATTTAGGACTAGTGGTGATCTGGCATGGTATCAGAACTAAGTCTTGGATGGTCGTGGATGCAAAGAGAGAGAGAGAAAGAGAAAGAAACTCACCTGTGAAGCTCAGCTGGTGACAAAATCCCTTCTCCGGCGCGTCGACATTCTCCTCGTTTCTGTCTCTTTTCTTCTCTCTGTATATTGACTGATCGAGTAAATAGCCTGAGAATTAGGGATTTTGTATCAATTTTTAAATTTAGATTTCATCCCACTGCCCTATTTTTGAAAATGGCCCAGTGTGTCCCTCATTCCACTAGCGTGCCCGAACTTGTCTCCCAGTGTGGCAGGATGTCTGAACAAACAATAAAAAAAATATGACGACACCTCATGCCCAACAAGTGTCCAAGCGTATCCACGTCCCAAACGTCTCGGACATGGATACGTGAGGCTGGGAGATGTGTCCGTGTTTCATAGATCAATTGTTTGTGTTTCACAGGTCAATTGTTAACGACAACTTGATCTAAAAGCTTAAGTTGTTATCAGTAGTTTAACTTACTTATTTATATGTTCATTACCACCCTCATATGTGGCTGGATCGCTTCCATGAGTGAGTCAAGTATGTAAGGTTGTGTTTGGATCATGGCTTTTAGTAGAGATTTAGAAAGGGAAAAAGAAAAGGTGAGAGAAATGTGAATGAAATATAAGAAATTTTTTCTCCTTCTCCTCCTCCTCCATTTTGCTTTCGCTTTCCCTTTCCCTTTCCCTTTCCCTTTACTTAAATTCATGATCTAAACACAGCCCTACATACTTGGCTCACTCATGGAAGGGAGTTCCATTGTCCAATTTGTTTTGGTCCCCGTGTTATAGAGCTTCACTCACACTTCCGAATTTTGCAGGACAATAGCAAACATGGATATAAAGCTGGACTTTGTTCCTCCGTCGTTCATTAATTTTATTTCGAGGCAGCTCATAGGCAGTGGTTTCAAGCTCTATCAGAAGGTTATATTTCAAATTTTATTTTTTTTAAATGGTAATATTTTTGCCCGAGCAGTGTTTGTACAACTGTTAGGATGTGCATTTGATGGAACCAACATGTTCAGACTCTTAAATATACACCTCAAGTGTTGAGTGAGACCGAGGGCACATGTAGACAGCTCACAATGGGATGTGAGTGATTGTTGGGTTCTTAACTGATGGCACCAAAATGAAATAACAAAAAATAAATAAATAAAAAAGGAAATAAAAGCTTAATTCAATTGTACCTGTATTAGATTTTTCATGCTTTAAAGAAAAATGTAAACGTACGTCTCTTGGTTGCTCTGCCGTTTCTCTTACACGTCGTGTTCTGGACTCTGTAACAGGAAGTTGCTTCTGTGGCTAGAGGTGATGAAAATTTTAGCAAGGCCTTAAGGGACCCACTATATGCCCGAATACGAGAAGCTCTTTATTCTGATAAAAAACAAAAGGGGGCTCTAGAACCAGAAAATGTCAAGAATGGTGCCTGCATTTTCCCTGAAGAACGTGTCGAACCAATGCTGGCTGGCAATGGAAACATGGATTTGGAGGTTATTGGTGATGGCCATGCAATTGAAACTTTGCCCGAGGATGTGGTAGTTGTAGATCACCAAGCCCGTACTGAGATTGAAGAGATTGTGGAAGAAGATATTGAACAAAGTAGACACTTGGAAGAGGATGGCAAGGAAATCCGTAACCCAACAACCAGTCAAATTGAAGAAAAGTGTTATGTCAACAATTACAAGAAAGTTGGTATCAATCCTCAGGTGAAGCAAGCACTAGAAACATTAGAAAAAGCCATTTCCATCTTTCGAGAACGCGGATTTGATCCCCAAACAAGGTCTTTTCTTGGCGTCACACACGAAGAATGCCTTGATTTGGGTAAGGGTGCAGTGAGAAATTCAAAGTCTTTGGAAGATGGTCAAATTTGTTCAAATGGTGGGGTGTCGAAAAATGAAACAGTGGAGAGGACCTCAATTGAGCCTAGGAACAGCTCTGGCAGTCATTGCAACAGGTAGTTTTCTAAAAGAATCCGAGCTAACTTTCTGATGATTAGTATCCGACTTCTATTTTCTGAATTCTATTTATATGGGCCTAGATTGCATTCTTTTCACCTCTGGAAAAACCTTGATGGTTCTAATGATCTGGTCTTGATAATCTTGTTAGTACGGAGCATTTGCAATTTCTTCTGGGTAGGGCTGCAAACAAGTTGAGCCGAGTCGACCTTTGCAAGGCGAGCTCAGCTCAATTATACTAATCATGCTTAATATCAGTTCGAAGCTCAATAATCAAGCTCTTAGTCAGACTTGTTAAATATTATTCTATATTAAATATTTACTGTCCTCCTTCTAAGCCCCAAATTTGCATGACCACTATTTAGCGATATCTCGAGGTACCGGCTATATCACTCATTAATTAGTGTCTTAATACATAATCATTCACACACTCACTCTCTTCTCATTTGCTTGCATGGTCACACACTTGCAAGTCTTCTAGTTATCCTTTAGATTAAAATCTGAAACTCAAAAACCCAATTTAAATTATCAAATTGCCTTCCAAATTAAAACATTATTATGAAGATCTGGAAGTTTATTCCCAAATAGGTTGCAGTAACTTTGTTTTCTGCATTTTACAAGAAGGAAGCATAAATTTTGAAACTCAGGTAGTGTGAAATCAGAAACTTTTATCTTTTTCAAGATTTCATTGAAAACTTGTCGTCATCGAGCACAAGCCAAACTTTTCACGACAAGGACATAGTTGATAAATTGTGATTTAATCTCATTTTTGTTGACGCAATCTTGTTTTTTCAGGCATGGGGGATCAAATTCTTACTCAAGGGAGACAAACCATGATGGGATGGTACCTGCATCACCAGAAGAAAAGCTTCAAAATCCAAGCGAGACTCAACAGACTGCTTTGCATTACTCTAAGAATACGATAACAGAAGGATCAATTGTGGACAAAACTACATTTGATGAGAAGCCATCAAGCCCTGACCCAAATGGCATCTGTGAAAGTAGCCCAAACAAAAGGAAGCAGAAGAAATTGAGGTCATGGTGCTTGCATTTCATTCCCGGGTAGTTTGATGTCTTTATAGAGTGCACTTGCATGCCATTTGAGATGGTAATTTGTGGCTTCACAGTTGGATTTGTGACATCTTAATAGGAAGGAAAAAAGAAGATATAAAAGAGATCACTCTTTTTTGCTTTATTTTTTTGCCTTAACCACAATAATACTTTTTTCAGTAATACCACAATAGTACTTGTAACCAATACATTTGAGCTTTTTGGGTCTGCTTGTGATAGACCAGATTTGCAGATCAAATGTAAAGGAAACCAGTTGGGTATTTAGATGTTTTCATTATCAAGTTCTGAAATTGCTCTTTTGTTGTCATGTTTCTTTCAATGCTATGTATTTTAAAATTTGCTTATTATAATTCCAATTTTCATATAATTGTCAAAAGCTTTGGTAATGTCAGTTGAACAAGAGTTTGTAAGCCAGTTATATATATAGTTTTTATTTGAATGATAGAAAAGTGATTTTGAACGTGCCAGTAAGAATTAAATAACTCTTATAAATTTAATTCGAGTCGAGTCAGGCATGTGTGTTTAATAAAGTTTTGCAAATGTGTTTAAAGTTATTTTACTTCAATAAACATTGTTTTTTAACATTGTGTGCCAATTGAAGAATCAATTAAGGAAAACAGTGAAGGCAAATTAATTAAAGAAACGAAGCCACTGTAATTGATCAATGAATACTTCAATTTAAATAAACAGAATTGTAACCAATTGCGGCTCATATTCTTTTCTCTTTCCAAATGTCTTCCCAAATCTTTCAATTAAACACAGCGGAATCTTTCAACTAAACACAGTGGAAAGAACAGTCATCAGACTCTTTTTCTCTCCCTTGGTCGCTCCTGAATGAAAAGCCAGATCACCATTGACTTTCAGAGCACCACCAGGGCCAGGGGAAACCCATCAAAGCTGGTCTACCCCACTGAGGCTACGCTGCCTTTCCCAACAGTTGTATTACACTCTAAAATAGCCTCAAATTCAGCTTCATTTCTCAAAGTTTGGTCAATCACTTGGGCCAGGAACCAGAGGAAGATGATTGAAAATAGCGCATTTCTGGCTTTCCAAATGGAGCAAGGATCCTTTTTTTGGCACCCTACTTGGTGGGCCATTGGCCCACTTTTGGGCCCAATTTCGATAATTCGAACTATTTACATTTTAAGATTTGTCATGTATATTATACCTGTAAGAAAATCAAGTTGATCAGATATCAAAAAAAATTTAATAAACAGTTTTATTATTTAATAAAACTTTTAGTTCATGTGATTTTCGATATCTGATCGACTTAATTTTTTATAGATATGATATAGATGACAAATCTTAAAATATGAATAGTTTAAATCATCGAAATTGAATCTAAAAGTGGGTTCAATGACCCACCAAATAAGGAGCCAAGAAGAGGATCTTGCTCTTCCAAATGTGCCAACAGATCGAAGTAACTCGACAGATAAGATCTTTCCGCATCTGAATTTCACACTCCTGTCCTGATCCATTAATAACTCACTTAACCATTTCTGGAAAGAGAGAAAACTTAAAGCATCTCTTCTTAAGCCCAGACCACACCCAAACCAAACCCAAAAAGTGAATTCTCTAGAGACTCCACTTCATGCTGACAAACTGGTACTTTGATATATATTTTTCACTTTCTATTTAAATTTAAATTTAAAGTCCTTGTTTGGGAAGAATTAAAAAGTGTATTTTTTTTTACATACATATACTTATTTTAGTCACATTAATCAATATCTATCAACATATTTTCTCTACTTTTCTAACCACTTTTTTTACCTTTCTACACATTTTTTTATTTATTTATAAAAAGTCAAAAAATATACTTATTTAGAACATTCCTAGCAACCATTGAACATAACTGTTATCTGATTCTGCAAAAACCACTCAATCCGAAACGTCCGTGCCTATTTGAGCAGTTTTGCAAAATTATTAGGGTTGGATGCGGTTTAGGATTTTCCAAATTTGCGGGTTGCAGTGGGTCGCAGGTTTTACCTGCACCCGCACTCACCTACCCGCATCTGTATACATTTTTAAAAAAAAATCTAGACCATCAAATTTTCTTGTAAGTCTTGTAAGTATGTAATCATAATTTTCTCTTCTCTCATTTACTTTAATATGATTATCAAACTTGCAGGCTCTAACATTATAATAATATCACACACTGCCTTATTTGAAATATTTATTATTCAATTGGAATTTTTTCAATTTTTTACAAATCTAGTTATGTGATATATTTTTTTTAATTTTAGTTTTTATTTAATTTTTATTCTAATTTTTTGTAATCCAATTTTAATGGAGAATAGTATTAAACCTCCCACAATTAAAAATATTTAAAAAAATAAGAAAAAACAAGCAAAAAAATAAATTTTTAAAGAAAAAAACTCAATAAGCAAACCACCCATAACCGCTCACGCATTCTTAAATTCTATCTGCACAAACCACAATTTACATTACAAATAATTACAGATTTAATTTTTCCCAAATCACAAACATATAAACGGATCCAAACCATAAACTAAACCTTCGAAAACCAATCCGCAGCACCCTAATCAGTGCTCTTCTTTTCCAACGTACCTCTTAATAAAATCGATCACTTTCTAATTGCCAACTACATCCTTTTTTTAGGATAAATTATGATATTTATTAAATTATAAATTATTCTTTATAATTTTAAAAATTATATTATGCCTCTTAAAATTTTTAATTTCATAACAAATAGGTTCTTTTATTAATAAATCATCAAGTTAATTAACAGTTTTTAATAATATTAAAATTTTATTTCAATTAATAATTTAAATAATTTTATTATTGTATAGGTGAATAGTTATAAATTTTACTTTTTCAATTAATTCTATTAAATAAAAAATTCTAACAATGAGATATTTATAATTTTTCAAACCACAAAAGACAATTCATATTTTAAATAAATTTTAAAAAATGTATTTATAATTTACCCCTTTTTATGGTATTTGAATTGCCACGTATCTTATTTTTTGCTCTTCTTTTCCAACGTACCTCTGGATAAAATCGATCACTTTCCAATTGCCAACTACATCCTTTTTTATGGTATTTGAATTGCCACGTATCCTGTCTTTACTTTAAGGGGAAGTTAGGCCATCTCCAACGGTGCATCAGATTAAGCATCAAATTCAAATTTGATGAAAAAAATCCATTTTTCCCTCTCTAATGGTTTCACCAAATTGATATCAAACTGAGGACAAGCGCAAGATTTCACCATTTCACTGTGCTGTAACGCTGGGGGTGGGCCAACCGATCAACCAGCCGGATGTCTGGCCGGTAGACCCACCGGTCGACCGACTCCCTCAATCTGCGAACTGATTTATTTCCCGAACAAGGTGCGATCTTGTGAAAATGAGATCATAAAAGGTCTCGTTGTTTGGGTCTTGATTACTATGGAACCCCCAATACGGTGGTTTAACTTGTGGAACTTTATCCAGTGGGTTCTTAACCCACTAATGTGAAGAATAAAGGTCACTGAAACATTTTATTCTAGTTTGGGCATAATCACTGATATACCTCAAAATGGTACTCCAGAGCAAGCAAGGTAGGATTATAATTCTGCATGCTATAGGAGACAATACATTTTCTTGGACGCATTTTTCTTTCGAAGAGTGTGCATTGTACGCATTTGCTTTCTGTAACACAAAAAATGCTTCTTCATACCAATATAGGTTGAGTGTCTTCATGAGGGGAGTGTTTATTTATGGCTGAATATCGCTTTGCAGCTTAACAATTGAGAACAAGCATCCACATCTCTCTAATAAAATCATTCTATGACAAACATATACATAGACATATCTTATAGGAACATACAAACAGTTGTGCCTTTGTTTAGATTTTGTAGAGTTTGTGTATGATGCTCTGTTTCAGTGCTGAAGTGTGATGCTTATGTTTGTCATCACTAATTGTACAAATCTGCTTTGGAGAAGCCTAACCGATTGACCGACCGGTCGACCCACCAAACATCCCCTTCGCTTTTGATGCACACCATTGGAGCTACTGGTATCAGGTTGAGAAAATCAGTTTTTTTTTATTCAGATTTGGTGAAAATTATAATGAACCGTTGGAGATGCTCTTATTCGTTGGTCCTATTTAAAATATGTGTATACTATTTAATTTAACAATTTTTTAAGTAGATCAAAAAGTCCAACATGTTTTCCTTTCTCTCTTTCTCTGCTTTTTTCCGTTTTTCTGTCCTCTTTGTCATGTCCAACGACTGGTGATCACACCTTTTTTTATTCTCTTTCTCTTTCTAATATATAATCATCGGTGACTGATGATCATCATTGATTGAGATTCACCGACAACCACTAACCACCGACAACAACTCGTGACTTCATCCTTACCGACGGCGAAGAAGATAAGATCTATATCAGATTTGAGTAGATTTACATGAGATCTAACTAGATCTAAATAAAAAATAGTTGTCGGAGTATAATATTCTTTTCATATCTATTCTTTTCTTCGATTTCTCAATTTTTCTATCTTTTCTCTAGTACACACATCTATTTTTCTGTTTTAATGGAGAAAAATTTCAAGTTCTGAATAAGTTGTTTTACAGGCGGTAAAAACTATAAAATTTTACAGTTTTAACTTTTTTGGTGTTGAAATGAATCATGCTTTAAAATTGCAAAATTTTACAGTTTCATAACATGTTTTCCAGCTTAATAGATTAATGCTTTGAACTATAACATTTTACAGTTTCAAAGCTTACTTTTCAGTTTGATTAATATTACAGATAATTTCTTAAATCCTAAAAAAATTGAAAAATAATCTATACTTTTTCCTATTGTTGTTTGTTGTTGTTATGTTTTTTAACTATAATTTCTTCATTTATTTTTTTTTTTGGCAATATTCTGAATATTCCGGTAAGTTTCCGATGATATTCTTGACATTTTCTAGTGACGTTCAGAATACTCCAGCGAATTCCTGGCGATGCTCAAAACGTTCCAGTGAATTTCCGGTGATACTCTGACAACTTCTCAGAGATGTTGAATATTTTGGCGGGTCTAACAGAAGTCGTTAGATGTAGTAACATTTTTAAAGTTATAAAAATAAAAATAAAAATAATTTTTTTTTGATAATAATTAAAATATATAAGGTTAATTAGTGTAAATATTTTATTTTAAAATTATATAAATTTTAAACTTTAAGACTCATGGATAAGTGCCCTTCACTTTAATTTATGGTTTCCCTACTTAGTGCTCTTCTTTGCTTCTGGATCCTCTAGAGTGATCCTCTGAAGTGATCCTCTAGAGTAATCCTCTAGAGTGATTCTTTATGGTGCGACACGTGTCCCATTAATAGAATTAATGGCTGAGATGATCTCTTACCAAAACGACATCGTTTTGGTGAGCCAAACCCTAAAAAAAAAAAAAAAAAATTTTTTTTTTTTTGCAGAGTTTGCACTGCAAAGGAGGAGAGAGAGAGAGAGCTGAGGAAGAAGAAAGAAGTCATCGTTGCCCAACACTGCCCCATCTCTCAAAGCCATCTCTCAAAATCTCTGCAAATCTTAAACCCATCTTCTTCTTCATCTCTCAAACCCATTTTCTTCTTATTCCCATTTTCTTTTCTCATGTGGGTTTCTCTGCAAATCCACCCATTTCTCCTTAAAGCTTATTGAAGAATAGATTCGATCTCCGCAAATCTTAAACGCATCTCTCAAAACCATCTCTTAAAATCTCCGCAAATCTTAAACCCATCTCTCAAAACCATCTCTTAAAATCTCCGCAAATCTTAAACCCACTTTCTTCTTCATCTCTCAAATCTATTTTCTTCCTATTCCCATTTTCTTCCTAAACCCATTTTTTTCTTCATCTCTCAAACTCATTTTCTTCCTTTTCTCTGCAAATCCACCTATTTTCTCCTTGAAGCTTCTTGAAGAATAGATTCGGGAGACACGACTTCGGCAAAAAATTATGGATCAAACTCTGTAAAAAAATTGCAGAGAAAAAATTTCCTTGGCTTTCTCTTTCTCCTCCTCTCTCTCGATCTGCAGTGCAAACTCTGTAATTTTTTTTTTTTTTGGGTCTGGCTCACCAAAACGACGTCGTTTTAGTGATGGACCATCTCAGTCATTAATTCTATTAATAGGACACGCGTCGCGCCATAAAGAATCACTCTAAAAGATCACTTCAGAGGATCACCCTAGAGGAACCGGACGCCTCTTCTTTTCCAACGTAGCTCTTAAAATCGATCACTTTCCAGTTACTAACTACATGCTTTTTTATGGTATTTGAATTGCCACGTATCTTGTTTTTACTTTAATTTATGGTATCTCTTAAATTGAGTAGGATTGAATAAAATATTAATATAAAAAAATATAATGTCGGTGAGCAGAATATTATAATTGAAATTATAGTTATTATTTATTTTTTAAAAATAAAAACTATTAAAACATATAACTAATGAAATATCTAATCATCGGTTTAAATTAAACATTCTCTCGAGTTATAATATCCATTTTAAAAAAAATAGAAACTTTAAAAAAAAAATAGAAAATTTGTTTAATTTGGAAAAAAGAAAAAGAAAAAGCTATTTCATAATTTTTTTGACAATAGCATAATTTTTTTTAAAAAAAATATCAAAAAATTATTTTGGCACAAATAATATGTACTATTAAATTCTGCAGCTTTCTCTCACACTCTTATTTTCTCTTCCATTTTAGCGCACCAGAAAATGTGGAAGCTGAAGCTACGGTCACCTCTCTCCACAATCCTCCGCCGAACTCTCCCCTCAGCCTCTCGTCTCTCTATCGACCCCACTTCGCAGACTCCTCTTTCCACTGCTTTCTCTTCCTTGATCGGTGAAGAGGAAGATAGGGTTTTTCGGTTCCGGAGATGCCATTTTTTCGGGAATCTCGTATTTTCCGGGAAAAATTTCAGCTCTGAATCTGCCGAGAAAGTTGTCATCCGGTGCTGGAACTGTACTTCCGTAGCTCAAACGGCGCCGTTTTTGTCATGCGAGAATTGTCGCAGCGTTCAACCTGTTGTTCCCTCGGTTGATTACTTCCAGATATTCGGATTGTGAGTGTTTGAGAATGAACAATATGAGCTAATTGACTTTAATTGCTGTGTTAAATGTGGTTTTGTTTTGAATTTATTGTTTTATGTGATTTTCGGAACTCATTGAGCTGGTTTAAATGATGCCGTTTTGTTGCTGAGAAAACTGAGGAAAAAGAAAAATGAAATGTGGGTTTTAATTCAAATATAATGTTTTTATCTTGTTTGGTGCTTGCAAAACAGAATACTTGAGACAAACTAAGTCACATAGCAATGTGTATTGGAAAATTTTGATGTGACTGTTGGAGGTATTGTAGTGGATCGTTTTGACTCTTTTAACAAGCTACTCAATTTTTTTGGATGTGTTCACAATAATCCCTTTGTAATTTGAAGAACAAAAGTTTGAGCTTGTCCTCTATTTGGTTCAATCAATCGAATGAGATGGAATGAAATGGTGATTCATTAGGCTTTCTTATGGAATTTAAATGGTGAAAAATGAAAAAAGATTCCATTTGTTTGTAACGCATTTGTCATTATTTTTTTTAGTCTAAGCAAACATGGGAATGGATATTTTGATGGAATGATCATTCCATTCCATTTCATTTCAGTGAACAAAACACTACCTTAGCCAAATAGTAGTTGTATCAAACTTAGTCGTGGATTTAGTTATGAAAGACCTGTGATTACTATACTTGATACGTTTTCCTTTCCTACGTTCTTTCAGCAAATAAACATGAAATAAAAAAATGGAAGTTACCAATGACTAGTTAACAACTTCTTTTAAATGTTAACAGGGAGAAAAAGTATGAAATTGAGGAGGGAAATCTTGAGGGCAAGTACAAAGATTGGCAGAAAAAACTGCATCCCGATCTTGTTCATTCTAAATCTGAGGTCTGTTTCAATATATGTTACTTTTTCGCCCCTTGGGTTTGGTCTTCTATGATTTTGTGTTGACTTTGTTGTGTTTTCTTTAGAGAGAAAAAGAGTATGCTGCTGAACAATCTGCTCGGGTGATTGATGCTTATCGCACTCTTGCTAATCCATTGGCAAGGGCAATATACATTGTGAGTGTACTTTCTACAAATGGTTTTACCTTTTGGTTTTTGACGAACTTCAAAGCTAGTTTAACATTTTGGTTTACAAGTAAAACTCTTAGATCTTGGGTATCAAATTGTAAGTTGAACCCAAATAGTTGGGAGGAGACTTTGTTGAGGTAACAATTTCTTGTTCATTTTATTAACTAGACATCATGTTCATTATTTTTATTATTATATTTTTGATAAGTTCGCTATCATACATATATATACTAGCGTATGCCCGTGCCTGAAGGCACGGTGTAAATAATAATGAATAGCTATCATTGGTGCAATTTTTCCTTTACTGAATTACTAAAATTCTATGGCATTACCTTTGTTTACAACAATTAATTTCTTCATTAATCCATCATGGATATCCATTTTCAAATAATGGATCAAAAATAATGCATGTATTAAGCACTAAGTACAATAAGGCAAACTTATTGGAAAAGAGCTGCAGATCTAATATAAATTACATAGCCTATGTTTGGGAAGTTGGGTTTGAGGACTTAGCCAAAGAAGCCAAAAAATGTTGGGTTTGAGGACTTAGCAAAAGAAGCTGAAAATGTTTTTCAGAATAGAAAATGGCATAGGCAAACAACCATTGTCTATTTAATCAAAAACAGAACCAGCCTAGTGATATTTTATTTTGGTAACCACCACTAAGAAATCGTTAGTAAGAAATACAAAACCCATTCCAGAAAGCGGGTCATTAGATTCATCCTTACCCTATACAATTCACGATCAAAATCGAAATTTCAAGTGAAGACCTCTATTTGAGAACATATTCAAAGCATGAGAACTGTGAATATCGAATTGAAAAATACCTGAAGATGCAAATCCAACCTATCAAACATCTAGATTACCTGAAAAGTACCTGCTTTATTAATCACTTCAATAATTAATTAGCAGTAGTGATATGAAGCATTAATTAGGAGTATCAACTAATAAAAACCAAATGACACTAACTAATGTACTTGAAAAAAATAAAAATAAATAAAAGTGAACCAACTAATAGGGGAGGGGGGGAATATAAAAATCAACAACTAAAATTTTCCGTAAACTACAGACTACCTCAAGATGCATTATGGTTCAATTTTTTTTTTTTTTTTTTTTTTCTTTTCAAAGAGTAGGGAGTGAATTCACAGGAAGAAAAAAAATTCTTAAACGAAGACATTGAACTCAATACACCAATTTATAGAAAATCCAACCAAGTACTTCAACTAAATTCAGAAAACACCAACTTTACTTGCACTTCAACTAAGCCCTCAAAAAATCATACACATACAAAAAATCATACCTGAAAGAAGTCAGCAAACCCTATACCAACACTTCAAACTGCAAAATTATGAAATTGAAAAAAGAAAATCAGCGAACTTGATACCAAACTTGAACATGCGAACTAAATTACTCAATTACTCAAAGGGAGAAAAAGAGAAATCAAATTACCTTTGAACAGCGGTATAGCGATGATGTGGTTGTGGCTGGAACAAAGAAATCTAGGAAAGGAGAGCCAAATTTCACAGCAAAATCATGAAATTGAACAAAGATGTGAAGAAATGTCAGCGATCTTGATACCAAACTCGATAGTTTCCTAAATGAAGACATGAAACTCAATACACCAAATAAACTCAAAATTTAGAATCCAAATTCATAAAATTTATAGAAACAGAGCATTTCAACTAAGCCCTCAACTTCATAGTAAAACAATCCAACCCCAAAGTAGCAAAACAGCAAAATCATGAAATTGAACAGCGGTACCAAATTCGAATAGCAAAATCATGAAACTCGACGATTATGAAATTACCTTTGAACAGCGGTACAACGATGATGTGATTGTGGCTGGAATAAAGAAATCTGGGAAAAGAGAGCCAAATTTCACAGCAAAATCATGAAATTGAACAAAGACATGAACAAAAAAATTCATACACATACAAATGTCAGTGATCTTGATACCAAACCTGACGGTTTCCTAAATGAAGACATGAAACTAAATACACCGAATAAACTCCAAATTCTGAAAATTTATAAAAACAGAGCACTTTAACTAAGCCCTCAACTTCATAGTAAAATAGCAAAATCATGAAATTGAACAGCGGTACCAAATTTGAACAGCAAAATCATGAAAAAAATTATAATAACAAATAAACTGTAAAAAAACCCAACAATTAAAAAAAAAACAAAAAAATAATAAATTATATGGAACAAAAAAAATTGGAGATTTACTATTTCACAACAATCAAAACCCAACAATTAAAAAAAACAAAACAAAGAAACAATAAATTAAAATTTGAATGAAAAATATAGTAAAATATTCATTCTACAATATAAATGCTCTGAAAGTTAGAAAATACTAATAATATAGTAAAATATTCATTCTACATCAAATTGTAGTAGGCTAGTAGCTAAATGTAATGTATGGTCTCTTTCATGTAACTTCAGTGCATAATCACAAAAAGCATGTTACAATACTTAGACTACATCCAATAAAGGTGTCTAATATTGTGCAGAACTATCTAAACTTTTCTTCTTCTTTTTCTTCTTTTTTTTTATTTTTTTACTTTATTTTAATAACTGAGAACGAATCCTAGCAGGGCCCTTTGAAACAAATCAATTCTGTGAAGATTCTATTCACTAACCCTTTCAATGGTGCTACAAATTCCCATTTTTGAGGTTTAGCATCCTTATCCCTGCATATCTGTAATAAATTGAAAAGATTACAATCCCTTTTTCGCAAAATATAGTGAAAATATACTTCAAATTTTAACTATATCAGTACTTGGAGACCATAGACGTCATCTGTTGCCAACAGTGTTGGAAAAAAAATTGAAGATTTACAGTTTCATCAAAGAATAATGCTTGGGACCCCCTTTTGGGGGTCACCCCCTCACCCCCTTTGCCACGTGGCAGGGGGTGATTGGAGGAGCAGGAAAAAAAAGAAAAAGAAAAAGAAAAGGTAACCAATGAGGGAGAGAGGGGGTCAAAGGGGATGAGGGGAAAAGGGGGGATGAATCATTACTCTTCATCAAATTAGTGATTCTCTACGTTTGCTTTGGGAAGACATGGTGGCTAACTCATCATATTCTCGACGGTGGAGGACAGAGGCACCGTAGCGGGTTGAGACACCTAGGCCAACAACCAGTTCACAGAAGCTGTTTGATTAGCAAGCCAAAAAATTAGATAGAGAGAAAAAATGACCCGTAAACAAATGACCCATAAACAAAACCCTAAAATAAGCTGTTGGAAGAATCCCTTATTTCCATGACAAAGTGTGACTAAATTAGTGGGTTGACGATAATAGTTAATATATATTAAGCGGGTGGACTTGGATTTAATAATTCTTTTCTACTAAATTTTGAATGACTAAATTAGGTTGATGCTAGTCTAGCTCTGTTTAGGCTTAAAGTAACATGTATATTTCTTATTATGTAGTGTAATCCCAATTTGATCGATGTTCACCACTGATTCCAAGAATTCAGTTCCTCCACATGATCTATCTCCACTACATTCCAAAATCTTTTAGACACCAAAGCAGTTATCTCCTTTCAAAGTCCCTAACAATTAACTCCAATCCTTACAACTTCATTTTTAAATTGAGTAATGATATACAAATAAAAAAAATACATACAGAACGATATAGTTGAATTCTCAAATTATCATTTAAAAAATAAAAAAAAAAACCCACCAAGATGATTCTAAATTTCAAAAAAATTTACTACCACATCATTCTAATTAAGTGAATTTGTATGAAAATTTTAGTAGAAAAGAATTTTCCTTCTAAATTTGGTCCATCAAAAAATTTGGGAAAATCGTTCGTTCATAGATTGAAATTACAACTAACACAAAAAAATGACCATCTATACATGCTGGAATTTGGAGCTTTCCATGTGCCGACTATTTTCTCAATTGGATGGGAAACTTGCTCGTTCATAGATTGAAATTACAGTTAACATCAAACTTTGTTTGACCAAAGAGAATACGGAGAGTGTCCATTTTACATTTTAATAAAAGGGAATATCGCAAAAATGGGCTCAAGTGACAAAGAAAGGTGACAAATCTGAAAACATCCCCATCAAATTCAAACAAAATACGGAGAGTTTCACCTTTATAGAAAGAAAAAAATCACAAAAAAGTGAGACCCACATAATACCTAGGCAACGTGAGCCTCGCTTATGCAGAAATTATCAAATAGGTCCAATGGCGCACTAATTTGTATGCATCCCTGGCTTTTTTTTTTCACAAAATGCACTTTTCAATTTCAAACTAAGAATCTGCTTGGCGTAAAATTGCTGCCCATACAGGACCTCCAACAATGAATGAGAGAGATAAGAGAGAGAAGAATTTATATCTCAAAATTTGTAAATTTTCATTGAAGATGGTTCATATATATATACCAGAAGAAGCTTCTCTGAATGTGGTACACCTCAATTGAAGAGCTTCTTACACATAGATATATAGAAAAGCTGTAAATATAACTAAAGACTACTTTCCTGCAAGAATAAAGATGCCTTTGGTGTTCTTTTTCCCTTTCTTTTGCTAGGTCCTCTCGTGTCACTTTCAAAACTGTCCTTTTGCAAGCCGAGTTCGAGAGGCAGAAGGAGTTGTTGTCGGTGGAGATCGGAGGAGAGAGAAGATTTGAGATCTGGGAGGGAGAAAAGATGAAGAGTTGCTGTCAGTGGAGTTCGGAGGCGGCGCAACGGTGGAAGCGGAGCGGCAGTGGAAAGGAGGGGGTGGGAGAGGAAGAGAGATCTGAGGAGAGAGAACACCTGAGAAGTTGGAGAGGGAGGGAGGGGGAGAGAGAGAGAGAAGTGCAAATAAAAAAAGGCAACAACGATGCTTTTAGGGAGAGAAGTCTCTTAGGCGGGAGATCCATTGATCTGAACCGTTGATATAAAGTTGGAATTAATCTCAGCCATTGGATCAAAATGTATCTCTAAGACATTTGTATACATTTTCAAAAACCATCTTCCCTTATTATATAGATATATATATATATATATTTTTTGTGGATAAATAAACAAACTTTATTGAGAAAGTATCAAGATGATGCAAAAAATACAAAACCAAGGCCAAATAATAGACCAGACACTATCTAATCAAGTCATCTACAAAATCTACAAAGTCCAACACATACGTATCTACCGAGACCGTAACCCAAGTTAGCTATCATATTCATTATGTTGCTACTAATATTTGAAAGATTCCTAATTGGACTCGGTGCTAACCGACTTTTGACTTTTGACTATTTGAAACCCTAAACCTTCACAATTTCTAATTGCTAATTTGTGTATAAATACATAAGGCTTCTGAAAGACATAATTTTTGTATAAATACATAAGATTTTCCATTCCCTCTTCTTTTCCAACATATAAATGTAGAAAATGAATAGTTTATTATTATTTTTATATAATAAACAGAGCTATTTTATATATTTATATCCATGTCCCCACCATATACGTGTTTTTTGATAATTACCAAGCCAGCATGTTTATAGTGTATCATATCCAGTGTCCTGCATATTAGCGATGGAGGTTGAGTTCCTACTAATCCTATACTTGGCTTTGTGACACTTGAATAGAAGGATTGGGGTTTTTTTAAATGAAAATGTCAAGAATATCATGTTACCTTTTATTAAGAAAACATTGGATCTAAATAGGAGGAATATGGTTTAAAGGCTTTGGCAAAAAAAGTAGTGTTTGAGGCTAGACTCTAGAGCAAAGATCTAGATAAAATAGGGTTATTACGTAGTTATTTTTACTTTTACTAATTTGGATATTTACAACTTTAGGTATTTTGATGATTAGATACTTAGGTATGACAAGTTTGGTACTTGAGACTGTATGATTGGGTAGATCAATTCTAAGAAGCATGCATGTGATGCATCAAGGATATGTCGACATGAAAATTTTCAAAAGTTGTAGGACATGACATTTGGAGGACACGCAAAATATATAATTTTATATATTTATCATATGACATATATAACTATAAAACAATTATTATGTCGTATTTATGAATATTTAATTCAAAGATAACAATTTTTGAAGTTGGAAGGAGGAAAATATGTGTAAATTTGTTGTTTTTCTTTATCGTTGTATTTGAAGTTATTTTATTCAAACTTATAATATGTGTCTAAGAGATAGACATGTGTTTTCTGTGTTTGAAGCATGCCCAAGCCTATAAATATTTTTTAAAAAAGTTGGCCATGTTTAGATGTGTGTTCAATAGGTGTTGGGAATTGTTCAACTTGACACACCATCTTCTTAGAGGAGTAAGTGTTTTTTAGGATAAATTTAATGTAATTAAATGAAAACATTGAATTGTTGGGTTTCTCATATTGCTTTGTGTTATTGTCTTCTATTATTTTATGATTTGTTTGGAGTAGGTCTTTGTGAAGATTTTCACATGCGAATAAAAATTTATATTTATGGTTTTGTTTGTTTCCTTCAATGTTCCAGCTGAAGCTTGAAGGAGTGGTTGTGGATGAAGAAGGAACCATTTCGGAGCCAGAGCTGCTAGCTGAGGTAATTTTTAAAAGTATGATGTTTCTGATTCATAATTTATTTGTTATGTTTAGTTTACTAGTATTCTATTATTATATTGTAAAGAGGGATCTTCTAAATCAGTCACTCTGTTGTTTTCAGAATTTAATTTCTCAGTAGCAAAGTTGTGGTCTAACTAGTAAGCTATCATACCCAAACCCATGCACTCAATGCTTCATTCTTAACATTCACCATTAACTTGAGGTGCAATATTGTTGTCCACTTTTGATGTAACCTGTAACTCTTACTAGTTTTGTTTTTAACATGTAGAGGGTGAAACAATATTGCCAGGTGTTGACTGTACCTTAAGTTTGTTTATACTACGTAGGATAAGGGGTCTTTGAAAAGGAATGAAATTATTTCAGTTTACATGTACACACATTAAAGACTGAATATATATATAAACTCCTGGGGTTGGCCGGGTGGTAAAAACTTGAGGATAAAAATCAAGGTCTTGAGTTTGAGTCACTCCAAGGGGCCACTAGAGGTTTGCCTAGTTGTTAACTTTAGGGTCCCGAGTTTAGTCAAGGTGCGTGCAAGCTGGCTCGGACACCTGGTTATCAAAACAGACACACACACACGTATATATATATATATATATGTAGAGAGAGAGAGAGAGAGAGAGAGAGAGAGTAGCAATAAACATGTTTCAGGTCACACGGCTCATCAACTTGATGTTTCGTGGGAACCGTATTTTTGAACAAAGGCTAGAAAAGAAGTATTGCTTTCCTTTGCCACTCTAGTGTATGACATTTTCTGTGCTTAGGCTCCTTCTTCCCTATCCTACTTAAAGAGACGGACTGCCCCAGTAGTCTTAATTAAAGCATGCAGTTTTACCTCTTTTTTTAAGTAGCTGATTCACTACCGCAACAAGGAAATAGCTGCTGGATCAAGGAAAGGGGGTACTACAAGCACCTACGAACCATCGACACTTCAAAATAGGTGTTGTATCCGTGTTGGACAGATATGGGACACCGACAAGCTGGGGACATGCGTGTCCATGTGTCAGACACGTCATGTGGCATGCCATTTTTTTTTAATTATTATTTTTTTGTAAGACACATTGACACTTTGTGAATTATTTATTTATTTATTATAATTTTAGAAAAATAATTTGGGGTCAAAGTAAAATATATGAAAACAAATATCTTTGTTAAATTTGTATTTATATACATAGAAAATAAAAATAATATAATTTTACTTTCCATATCCTTGTCATGTCAATATCCTAATTTTTTCAAAATTGTCGTGTTCCTGTCTGTAACCATGTTTGATTCCGTGTCATTGTCTGTGTCCATGCTTAGATGAGCCCTGCTCTGCCCCACACATCTAACCACAGTAGCTGGTTAGTAACCAGCTACTGTGGTTTGAGTAGAATATAGTTGTCTGAATGGTCAAAGAGGTGTGGGGTCCAAAGCACACCTGATTATTTTCCTGTCTTAGCTTTTATACTTCTTATATATTTTTATATTTTTTCTTTTTACTTTGTCTGCATATGTTCACTCCTCAAGGGCACCATGCGAGCAGGGAGGAGATTGTGTTTTGGACCCTGAATGTGTACCAACTCGTGTTGTGACTTCTTATCCTTTATTGCACTCGTTTTATATTTCAGCAGCCAAAATCCTTTCATAAAGGATTTAAGTGTTTTGGTATCCTGATTAGTTTAATGGTCATTCCTAGGATTAGTGTTCATTCTATTAATGCATTCATTAGTAAATTTTCTATTTCCTTTTTCTTTGGGCCTTGTCAAAATAAAATCTTCAAAATTAGCTAGAACTTATTTTAGATTTTCATTTGTTCAAATCCTTCAAACCTTGATGGATAGTTGGGGTATGATGACTTATAAGTCAGAGGTTGGCTTCATATGGTGCAACATGAATATAATGTTTTCTCTTCTGACATATACTGGCAACATACTTGAACAGTCCAAGCTTTATGCAAATAGTTACTGTTAGTAGACCACGTACTGTATAATCTCCAGCATTATAATGTAATCTCTCAACAAACTTTCAAATGAAAATACCTAGTGTAAAAGAATTTCTTTGTATAGGATGTTCGAAGTGTTGTACCTCTACCTTGGTCATCTCCATATAGACCAACATTTGACATCACTTGAATTGCAAAATGTTACCTATGATCTGCATTTGGTTTTTAAATGGTGGCTGTTAAATAATGAGATTTAGTGCTATGTTACCATTGCTAGCCGTTTACTTGACTGTTAAACTACTGTAACAGGCACTGTTTTCTCTATTATATACATTTTCAGTTTTATAATTTTTTAAAATTATGTTTTACTGTCTTTTTTTCTTTTTTCTTTTTTAATGTTATTACATGTTCCTTTTTACCTCCATTAGCCATTAAAATATAATTTTTTTTAATCCTTTGTCAAAACCTCGGATCTCCTAATCTTCCTAACACTAATGTTATATTTGTCTTCTATTTGTACATATATATATATTAATTTTGTGTTGCTCCAACGCAAAGAAGGGCATTGATTTTTATGCTTTGAGTTTGAATGGCAGATTTTGGAAATCAGGGAAGCTGTTGAAGAAACTGCGGACTCCCAGGAATTAAGACAGATCCAGGCTCAGGTACAATGCCCTATATGCAGTCATATTTATAGTAAAAAGTGGTGGATGCAGCATGACAAGTTTCTTACTTAATACCCTATTCATGGCCTGTATTCTGAACTATAAGATCGACTCTGGTAGGACCATTTTTTGGTCATTGTTTCAGCCTGCCTATTGGAAAGGAAAATGATGGGTGACTCGGAAGGATCTTGAATTGGGTAAATAAATTCATCCAAGCAGTATAAATATTGGACTAAGTTGATCCTGTGTCCAATGCGTCCAATGTGTCACAAATTGGCAGGTTCACACCTATGACACACGGGTATTCCAAAAATGGTGCCGTACAAGTACCAGGTGCTTACCAGGTGCGGATACGCATACCGGTACGGCTGCACGGGTACTGGGTACGCCGAATATAGGTTGGGTACGGCAAATACGTTTGGGTACATTGTGGGTACGGCCTAGGTACGTTTTGGGTATGGCGCAATGAATTATTATTATTTTTTATTTTATTTTTGCAATTGCTAGAATTTGTTACAGCCTTTATTATTCTTCTTTTAACTTCAAAAATCATTAGGTAATTTGTTTCCAACACCTTTTACCTATGAGTCATAGCTTTGCTCTCTTTTGCATTTTGTTTTAGACAATTAAAAAAGAAAAAGAAAAAATTATATAACTTTTTAGACAATCTGTTCTCCTTTTAATTTTGATATTGAAACTTTGATTTGTATGTTAGATGTTTAGCTATAAATTTTAAAATAAAAAAAAATAAAAATTGACGTACCCCAACCGTACCCATACCTGAACCCTATTTTTTAAAGAATTTGCCGTATCGGCATACCCATATCGCTCCCGCACCCGTGCTTCCTAGGATCACACTTCTCATGTGTGCCCCTGCATTTGCAAGAAAAACCAACATACTAATATGAATCCTGATTCAGTTCGTCAGGTTATGCTTTCTGAGATATGTCTAATAAATTCTAATGTAGATTTCTCCCGTTTAACTCCAGATACAAGAGAAACTGAAGCATTGGTCTGAATCCTTTGCAACTGCATTTCAAAGCCGAAAATATGAAGAAGCTCGCACTGCTATCCAGAGAATGACTTACTACAAGCGTGTAAATGAAGAAATAGTCAAGAAACTTTAATACACGAGCATCTCTGATACAAGGTACCTAGTTCAATTTATTTCTCAAATTTTCTAAACTATGCTATGCAAGTTCTAGTGTTGTCCTGTATTGAAGTTGTGGTAATTTGGTTTTTGGAACATGTTATTTCCTTTTTCATTTTTATTTTGGACAATACAATGTCCTGCATCTGCATGCATACAGTTTTATGACTTGCTTGTAATTCAATTGTCTTAATCAATCAGTTTCTGCACTGCTAGTTTAATACTTAATAATTGGACAGCTAAACAATTTGTCGTTGTCCTGACAATTACTTTTGTTCTTCTGACTCTCCGAGGGATATTCAGAAAATGAGTAACTTGACATGCTCTAGATGTTTGCATGTGGTTATTCCTATACAAATTCAGTAGACAGAATATAGATGTCCCACGTACTCTGGTTGGTATACTCTAGGGCTCCTGTGGATCCATCCGATTTTTTTTTTTTTACTGAATTACTTTTCCAATTTATTGCATATCATTTATGACATGTGGGCCAAAAGCAAATTGTACTGTGATTTTTGGGAAGAGTAGTTTATGAAGTTCAGATGTAGCATTTCTATAACCATCTTACCTACTACACACTCACCCTCTTCTATATATAGGAATCATGAATCATTGTAATAAATAAATAAAACATCAATCTTGTAATACATCAACAACATATCAATCAATAATAATACATACAATTTATTCTCTCTCTTTCTCTATACATTATTTCTTACACCACGTACTCTGGTTGGTATACTCTAGGGCTCCTGTCGATCCATCCGATTTTTTTTTTTTTACTGAACTACTTTTCCAATTTATTGCATATCATTTATGACATGTGGGCCAAAAGCAAATTGTACTGTGATTTTTGGGAAGAGTAGTTTATGAAGTTCAGATGTAGCATTTCTATAACCATCTTCATCTTACTTTCAGGTCTAATTCCCATTTCTGCAACTTGGCCTGCTGCTGTTGAATTCAACTATTACTTCTTGGTTAGAGATATACATGAGCAGATGACCATTGGTGATGCTCTGGTATGTATTGTTTCATATCAATCCAGAAAGTGTTAGTTTTAGGTTTTTGACAGCTCTGTATTATCTCAGGCTTGTTGGTTAAAATGTTTTGCTTTTGCTTTGCTTTGCTTTTTGTGTGTGCGTGTGTGGACTGAAACTATGATTGAATAATTGGGATTATGAACTGCATGTACTAGCGGTTCACTAGGGGAAAAAAGCATGATTATGAGGATCATGATTGATTTGCCTCTAAACATATTGAATCATAAAATACGTATTGTGAATTGTAATATGCTAATAACGCAACATGTACGCTGTAAGCTGTAAACTGTTGGTTTAGGGTGTTTGATTATTTATCAAAAAAGACTGTTGGTATAGGGTGTAGGATTAATTTGAAGCACTGGCAAGTAGGATGAAAAATTAAATGTGGTAATTTTGGCTTGAATTTCTGCTCTTATGACTTAATTAAATTTTGAACTCTGTAATGCTATCTATATTTTTGTTTTTTTTTTTCCCCAATCCTGTTGTATGGAGTCCATTACCTTCAATTTTGAAGGTTTTATATGTCATTGGCCGCATCTGGCCATTAGTTCACTTCTATTTTTATGCCATACAACGTAGTTCTCATATTTTAATGTTAAATGGGCCATTCCAATTAATAAAAGAAAGAAAAGAGAGTGATGTTATGGGTTCAACTATGCTTACAGTTGTGTTAGTAGCAGTTGATACAATTTGGTTGCAATGAACTTTTCAATTTTTCCTGCTTTTGTGCAATGTCTGAAGATGTTTGCTGGACCTTTTCCAGATGTAATTTTGACGGTTGACCCTCATTGTTGAGGTAGCTCTACCAGTCAACACTTGGCCTGGAAATCAGGAAGAAAGTGGAGGATTCCTAAATAAGACCCATTGATACTTTTCACCAGGTTAATTTTCTATCATCGGACTAGGTTTCGACTCTTTTGGTGTTGTCTATTGGGTTGAATAATGACATTGCTTCTGGGACCAGGGCAGTTGCCAAGAGCATTCAGTCTTTGTAATGGCTAAGTTTGTGCACCTAATAAATGGAAAAAAAGAACGTTTGTACGCTTAATAATCATGTTGATTTGTAATAATTTTAGTGACCATATGATAATTGATAGCATGGATTTCTTTTGGTGGAAACTCTGAACTGAAGGGTTGTGTTTGACAAAGATAATGTTCATGGCTGACTTCAGTGTTAGGTTTTTCATATGTTCCTTCCTGTCTGGTCCATTTCCCTGCTTCAACATATCAGTTATCATTAGGAACTTCTCTTAACGAGAAGCAAATGGTTTTTGTGTTTGTAGTCCTTCGAAAAACTTGGTCTGAATAATCTTATGTAGGGTTGCAAATGAATAGAACCGTTCGTGAATAGGCTTGAGTTTAGCTCAATAAGAGCTCGTTCGAACTTGGTTCATCAAATGTTTTTTGCGTTCGAGTTCGAGCTTATTAAATTTTTAATAAACAAGTCAAAACATACTAAAATTCAGCTTGTAAGCTCAGCTCGTTAGCTGATTCGTTTAACATTTATTATTTATATATATTAAATAATGTAAAAATATGTATAAAAAATAAGATAAATATGTTATTTATATATTTAAAAAATATAAATGTAAATAATAGTTAATTATAGATAGTACATTTATATAATAGTTGTGGTAGATATTATTGTTATTTTAGTAAAATATTATCCTTTAGGATGTTTGTATATATTGTATATATAATTATATAATTAAAGTTTTAATTGTAACTTTAGTTGCATACATAAATATGAATTTATAAATTTTTTGACTTATATAATTATATAATTAAAGTTTTAATTGTAACTTTAGTTGCATACATAAATATGAATTTATAAATTTTTTGACTCGTTAAAGTTCAAACTTGAATCAAGCCTAAGTTAACTCGTTTCGAGCTTGGTTCGTTAAGTTTTTGTTGAGCTTGAGTTCGAACTCGTTAAGATTTTAATAAACAAGGCCAAACATATTAAGATTTATCAAAAAAAAAAAAGAAGTTCAAACATATTAAAGCTTGGCTCGTTTGCAGCCTTAGTCCTATGCCAATTTTATCAAAATAAAACCAAATTTCTAGTGCCCTAGTCGTAGGCCTTTTGAAAAATCTATCTAAAAGTAAATACAAAGAGACAAAAATAAAGACAAAAGGACTACAATTATTTGCTCTTTGCTACAGTTTTTACAATTATATACACTGATACACACTGTCCACCCTCCCCGGTTTTCAAAGAGATAGACTGGTGTAGATAAGCTCTGGCTGAGCTGATTTGTCGTGTAGCGTCGGCTGAAATGATGTGGCTGATCACTTTCCGATAAGCAAACGAACCGAGCTCGAGCTTAACAAAGCTCGGCTTGGCTGATTTGCAGCCCTACTTAATATCAACATTGCTAGGAGTTACCAAGTAAAACACCATGCAACTCTTCCTTGGAGAGTGATAACCATAGTCCCAGTTTGCCCCTGTAGTGTTTAAGACCTTAATTTGCACAGCCTAGTAGAACATTCTTTACAAATGTAGTCAACCTTACTGCATCTCAGACAAGAAATGAAATAGAAACAAAATGGGTTAGACAACATAATCTAATCAAGCTTCAGTCACCACCCCAAAACTAAGTGAAGAACCTATGGAGCCATGCTCTACGTTCTGGAAGTTTATTAATTCCAAATATTTTCACATTCCAATCAATGCAGTTTCTTTGGAGGCTAAATTGAAACCAAAGGTAATTTTGATACTCACTAGTTTTCATCGAGCGGTTTGCTTTGCCTAAAAAAGTTTTTCCAGTGCACGAGGTTCCAGGAAGGTAAGATCCTATGCATTCTTACTTTTACATGAGGAGAGGTTGTTACGCTTTGGTCGCAATGGAGCAACAAGCTCGCCCGTGCTTGGCTTTTCGCTTCGTTGAAAAAAATTTGTAGCAAAAATGGACCAGTGGTTTGGCCCTTAAAGCCACACATGTCATTTTGTTTAGAAGTCAACTTGCAATCACACCTTGGTTAAGGTCACAAGTCCTGGCACAGTCGAGCAATCACAAGGGGTAAGGAGTAGTTGCATATGACATTTCCTTCAGATGTTGAACTAAATATTTTCAGTTACACAAACCTAATGGTTTCTAGCAAAATGTCAGAATAACACTACTTAAAAGTAATCAACTATCATCAAGTGGAAGAAAAACAGAACAAAAACAAAAAAACTTCATGATGCTAAGACAAAATTCAAGCAATTTAAATGACAATTCGAATATGCAAAAAATATGGACATAATTCATGTTAAGAACTTCCTTCTTTTCATGAGATCCAATTTTTTTCGTATTACAGTCTGAGCTAAGTTCTGTTTGCCTTCTCTATTTAACCCATAAAACACTGTTCGAAAATTAATGGCACTTGGAACAATCCCACTCTCCACCATTTCAGAAATCAGTTGCAGAGCTTCTTCAGAGTTACCTACTCTACAGAGACAAGTAATGAACATCGAATAAGTTTTAAAATCCGGGAATGGTCCATTCAGTTTCATACAACGAAAGACATTCCAAGCATCAGCAATCTTTCCCGAGTTCATATACCCATGTATCAAAGCCGAATAAGTGACAATTGTAGGTTCACAACCCTCATTTTTCATATTCTCAAAAATTTCTAAAGCTTTGTTTACCTGTTTCTCCTCAAAGAAATGAACCATCAACGATGTATAAATGTGGACGGTTGGTTTAATTCCAAGATTCTTCAAAGATTCGACCTTAGCCAATGCCTCTTCCAATTGTCCCTTTCGTAGTAGTCCATGAACAAGACTTCCATATGTGTATTGAGCCAAGGTATGTCGATCTGAACCAACTTCATTGACCAATGTCAAAGCTGCTTCTAATCTCCCTGCTCGACAAAGAGCTCTAACATAAAAGGAATAAGTTAGCGGAATGGAGAAACCAACTTTGTTTAGAGACTCGGTGCACCTTTTAGCGTCCAACAACTTCCCAACTCCGCATAAACAATCAAGAAAAATTTCAATCAATTCTTTATCAGGAATAAAACCCACACAAATCATCTCCTGGAACGCTGTAATAGCTTCATCTACCTTTCTACCTTTTCTCCCACAAAGAGATACGATCAAATACTTGTATGTACTTCCATTTGGTTTGCAACCGCTGGCTTTCATCTCCGTGAAATTTTTTAGAGCAATTTCTGTCAGACCTGCGCGACCATATTGCATTATCATGATTGTCCATGTATCTGATGTTATTGTGCAACCTTTTCTTCTCATTTCAAAAAAGAGGCTTCTCATGTGTTTAAAATCCTTCGCTCGTCCTGAGATTTTCATGGCCATGTTGTAAGTTTCTGCAGTGTTGCTATAACCATCTTGCCTTCCTACCCATGAGAAAAACTGTAATGCTACATGACCATACACCCCACAATTGTACAAAATCTGCAGAACAAGTTCAGGAGTGAACTTTACAGTGCACTTCTCCAAAGCTTCCTGTATTGAACACCAATCTACCGAGGATGATAAAACCCGACAAATTTCTTGCAGATCATGATCACTATAAGAACTTGACAATGATTTGCACAAGTGAGAATCTGGCCTTTTTTGCTCTACTTGGTTGGAATTCAAGTTCTTACTGAGCTCCTGGTTAGTAGATATAACAGGACTACATGTTTTACCCTTTTTAGGGTAAAGTTTAGAAGCTCCGTGCATTTGCTTCACTTTTTCTACCATCTCTATTTCTCCTTTTTTCTCCAAGTAAGATCTAACCCAATGAAATACATTGTCTCCAATAACTATTTTGGAAGCTCGCATTTTATTCAAAACCTCGACAATCTCATCTGTCTGCGAAACTTTACAAAGCTCTTTAATGAATACAACATAAGATTTCCGAGTTGCCTTGATTCCACGCTCCTCCATCCTCCTGAGCAGTTCCCATGCTTCAGATATATGGTTTTGGCAAATATGGCCTGCAACGATAGCAGTTACCGCCACACTATCCAACTCAACCCCTTTTTCAAGAATTTCATGATACAACTCCAAGGCTCTTTGAAACTCATTCAACTTGAAGAGGTGTTGCATCAACTCGGTATAGGTGGAAGTTGTAGGTATATAGCCAGAATCTTTTACACTTTGAAACAGATCAAATGCTTTAGACAAATCATTTCGCCTCAAGTACCCATTAATAATGATTCCGTAAATCTTCCCATCAACGGAATTTCTTTTCTTCATAATATCAACAATTTCCAAAGCATCAGCAATTCTATCAGCCCTGCACAGTCCTTTCACCAAGGTCTCAAAATTTTCAGCATCAAGGGTTATATTTTTATGCTTCAGGTCACGAATCAATTCTAAGGCTTCTGTAATTCTACCCAAAATACAAAAACTCTTAAGTAGGCATGCATAAGCATGATGTTCGGGAATCTTAGAAATATTTATCATGTCTTCTGCAAGAAGGCGAGAATCAGCAATATCTCCAGACTGTGCTAAGCACGTCAACAGCAGTTTATACAAACTCATATCCAAACCCATGTTGTTATGAACCATCTCCTTGTAAAACTCCATCGTAATGTCAGCTTTTCGAGCATTACAAAGCAAACGCAACATTAGTTTGTACACCACTGCATCAGGGTCCATACCAGATTTCCGCATCTTCTCGAAAATCAACAAGGCTTTTCCAATCAACTTTGCCTTCCCATAATGCGAGATGAGAATGGTCCATGTCTTACAATCCTTTTGACACGAGTTCTTCTCCATCTCCTCCACCAACTCTTCAACCACCCCAAATTCCTTTGCTTCTCCAGCAATGTAAATCATGATATTATAAGTTTTCGTTGTATGACAAAACCCATTTATGATTTTCACCCAATTGAAGAACCTTAGAGCTAAATGTGGGACTTTAAAGCACCTCTTCAACACTTTCTCAACAACTTCCAAATCAAACTCAAAACCCACACTTTCTAACCGCTCCTCCATCAGAACACCACCATTTTCACCGCGGATTATCCCTGTAACCTGATGAACAATTGGACTAACATCACGATCGCCTGAATTTCCCAACTGGGTATCTCCCAAAACAGGTAATTTTGCCTTTCCCTGGTCCACCACACCAGCAGAGGCATTTTCACAAACACCTCGTACGCAATATGGGTGTTCTTCCCTTTTCTTTGCACTTTCCAAATGGATTTCTCTTGATATTGAAGGTAAAGTTTTATCCGAAACAAGGTTCTCAGATCCTAAAATCTCAGTGATTTCATCGAAGAGTGAAGCAAAGTTTTTGGATTCTGACTGGTTTTTGGAGTTGGTTTGTTCAGTTTTCTTGGGATAGTGTAGCTTAGATGAGTTAGAGTAGAATGACAGACGAAAAGATTGGAACTTGGAAACATGAAAGTGAAGAAGATTGTTGCCAGAGTTTGAATTTAAGGGTGGAAGTTTGAAGAACTGCCTCATTCCTGTCGGACAGTTGGTGGTTTGGGTTCATGTGAGTCGGCTTTCAGGTGCATCACTTCACCTCTCATAGCGATCTGTTTGGTTGTTTGGATTGACCCATACGCTCAATGGAATCGGGCCGGCCCGCAAAAATGATGCCGTATACTAGCCCGGTGATTTTTTTGGTGGGTCGGTCGGTCTATCGGGCAAAGCCTTAGGCCTAATATGATTTCTTTTGGCATACAAAGTTTGGGTTAAAATAGTTACAAAAACACAAAATAAACTAAAAAGTTAATAAAACAAAACATCACATCCAAATTATAATCATTTTATTTTTTATTTCATATAAATCAAAAAAATCAAAAAATCTATCCCAAATAAAATTTTTTAACCCCATGTTAAAAAAGCTAAAAAGTTAAAAAGATAACTTATATCTCAAACGAAGGCTAAATATCCAACAGGCTTAGGCCAGATAAGCTTTGAAACAGGCCGAAACCTTAGGCCTAAGTCAAACGCAATGGCCTCGTGGATGGGCCAACATATATTTTATATTTTTATTTTTTTGTATTTTTGGTTGAGCCAGTGGCTGGGTTGGGCTGGGCTAACCTTTAAACCTCAGGTCAAAGCCTAATCTAAATCTCATTTATGCTCATTAGGCCCATTCAATATATGGGCTTGGGACTGGTAAATGCCTGCACGAAACCGGGTGGGTTTGGTCTGAGCAACAAGCCTTCGAATTAAATGATGACCATTATATTTCATCACTCCTTCAAATGCTCGATATATGCAGTAATGATACATAACTTTAAGAGTAATGCTAAAGATTCTAAATATTCTAGTAAAAGTTTTATCAAATGTCTCACATGGGTGTGGGACCCACACAATGTGGGTCCCATGTGGGTCCCACATCCATGTGAGACATTTGGTAAAACTTTTGGTAGAATTTTTGGGACTTCTAGCATTTTTGTAACTTTAATACTGAACTTTAAATGAAATTCTAGTGAGGTGGAAAAGAGAGAGAGAGAGAGTAGAGAGAGATAGAGAGAGAAGTGAGCTCCACCTTCACATGGATACTTTCAAATTAAAACTCTCAAATATTATTGATATATATATGATTTGAAAAGCGATTTAAATACGAAGATGTGTAGAGGAGAAGAAAAATATAGTATTCATTTAATTTTTCCTTTTTGGTTACCAAACACATTTCAATGGTAATATTATAATAAATACGTTGTCATATTACAATTAATTAATCATTTCATATTTCATATTTCATATTTCATATTTGTACTCGCTTAATGAATCTTATTATCACTAGTGTTTGTTATCAATATAAAAATCTATTTATTTTCTTTCTCACTATGTTATCTCAATCAAGTACAAACAAAATATCTCCTTGTTTTGCAGCAAAGCTTGCTATGTTGTTAAGACCTGTCATACGAGTTGGAACGCCTCAAGGCAACATACCCACAAAGAATTAAAAAATTTGCTTAAATCAACTTCTTTTTTTTTTCTTACAAAAAATAACTTTATTAATAACTTTCCCAACACAATAATTATTAAAAAAAAAATATTAAAAAAAAATTACTTCAAAAATCATTCTATTCACTAAATGAACGCGTACTCTATTCGGTTGTCAAGAATTTTATGTGAAAAAATAATTCCCAGAAAAAATGTGTTGAAGGAAAGGAAAGAAAAAAAAAAAAAACAATTTTTTTTGTGTGTTATTTCATCAAAATTTTGCCTGTTAACATTGCAGGTTATGTTTTGAGCAAAAATTTATGACATACCCACAAAAAATTAAAAAATTTTCTTAAATCAACTTCTTTTTTTTTTCTTACAAAAAATAACTTTATTAATAACTTTCCCAACACAATAATTATTAAAAAAAAAAATATTAAAAAAAAATTACTTCAAAAATCATTCTATTCACTAAATGAACGTGTACTCTATTCGGTTGTCAAGAATTTTATGTGAAAAAATAATTCCCAGAAAAAATGTGTTGAAGGAAAGGAAAGGAAAAAAAAACATATTTTTTTGTGTTTATTTCATCAAAATTTTGCCTGTTAACATTGCAGGTTATGTTTTGAGCAAAAATTTATGCTAGTGAAAAAGGTTTAAGAATATGGTGAAAAATTATACTAAAATATGTAATTAAATTATTGAATAAATAATACAAGTAGATTTCAAAATCTATATTTAAAGGTTCCCGAATAATTAAACAAAGTAATTCTCTCCATTTCTTATATTCAATTTATTGCTTTATTACTACTATCTTAAAAAAAAAAATTGTTGCCTTATTTACTTTACAATTCATTACTTTATCTATTTTACATTTTTATAATTTTCACAACATTTTTTCTATACCCACTTTTCTTTCACATACAATAAGTTTACTGAATTTGAGAAATTTTAATCTTTTACGTTGTGTTTGGTTGGGGGATTTGGAGAGGAATTTGGAAAGGGAAAGGGAAAAGGTGTGTGAAACTATGTGAAATGTAAGCATGTTTTTTTCACATTTCACCTACTTTTTTCATTTCTCTTTCCAAATCCCTCATCAAATCCGTCAACCAAACACAGCATTACTTCAAATTAAGTTTTAGTGTCACACCATATGAGTTCACCCCATTAGTGGACATTTTATGGGTGTAAAACTCCTATTTTAAAAGAGAATGTGTTTCGCAGTTTGGCAACGTTTTGCACGTTCTGTTTGTGAACAAAACACGTTTTGTTTGTGAACAAAAAACAAAAGCGGTGGTGAATGAGCTCATCATCATCAATCATCACGAGCAAATGTAAAATTCATTGCAAATCAATCCTTATATTTAGGTTCGTTTGAGAAGTTAATTATTATAATTATTTTAATTTAATTAAAAATATTATATTTGAGAAGATAATTGATTTTTTATTTATTTATAATTGATTTGATGAAAAAAATAAAATAATTATAGGTTAGATATGACATTTTATCTTATTGATTCTTTTAACCTTTTTTTTTTACCTTATTCGAGAAGAGAATAACTTATTAAAAGACAAAATAGTCTCAAATAGCTAATTGAATAAAATGTCACATCCAACTTATAATCCAGGGGTGAGCAGCGGATATACCGATCCGCCTAAACCGATTGAACAGAACCGATCTGTCGCATTTTGGACGGATGGGTAATGACGAGCAGACGATTGCAGATTAATTTTTTTCAATCCGCCTAGTTTTGGACGGGTGGCGGATTTGAGGTTCTTTTAGCCGCAACCGAACTGCCAAACCACGAGCATCCTTAGGAATTTGTAAAACTTTGTTTTTGCAATTTGTTTAGATATTCTATTTGCGTTTTCAATTGAAAAAAAGTTTAAGTATTTTGTTGAAAAAAAGTTCAATTTAAATATATTTTTTGAATTGAAAAAAATAAATATATTATTTATCTATATTTTTTTTTCATTTTCAAATCTAACTCTAACTCTAAAAATAATAAATAAAAAATATGATATATGCTGGTTGGTTTTTGTTTTTAAAAACAGATATAGATGTAATAATACAGAGGCATACATGCAGTGATTGTATTATTTTTTTAAGTTTTTAACTATAATATTTTTTTTTAAGAAGTGCACAAGTTGAATTATGTTGAAAATTTATAAAATTTTAAACCATCAAACCGATTCGCATCCATTCGCCAATCAGCTCAATCCACATCCACTGGATTGGTGGACGAATGCAGATTGATTGTTTCCAATCTGCTAAACTGGCGGACGGATGGCGGATTGAAGGTTCCGTGGCTACAACCGATCCGCGCCCACCCCTACTATAATTGTTTCACTTTTTTCTCACAATCATCGAATCAATTATAAAAAAAAGCTAATCAACTACCTAAACACAATTTTTTAGTCAAGTTAAAATAGTTAAAAAACTAAATAACTAAGCCCTGGTTTGACATGAGATTTTTTTTTTTTTTTTGGAGGTTGTGGGCTAATTTAATCACAAAAAAAGCAAAATAAACTAAAAATCAAAGATAAAATATAACATTTAAATCATAATTATTTTAATTTTTTCTTACAAAAATTAAAAAAAATCTATCTAAACAAACTTTTTAGCCACATGCTAAGCCAAAAAACAAACTCATTTTCCAAATGAACCCAAATTAAAATACTCAAACAAGACGTTTATCTTTATTGACTACTTAAACCCAAATAGCCGTTCCCAAATTAGTCTCTTTTGATTGCTCTTTCACATCTACTACTGGATTGTTAATCCACAGGCTCTTTTGGCGGTAGTTAAAAAGTCAATTTATTAATTAAAAACTTTCATTTTTTAAAAAGTTTTTAATTTATTTAAAAATTTATTTTTTGTTAAAAATTTTATTTTACTCACTCTAAAAAAAATATTAGATTAAGCCAATAGCTCTTCTTTTATGAATTCGCTAAAAGTTAATTTATTAACTAAAATAAGTTAACAAAAAAATTAATTCGTTTGTTATATTTGCAATAGGTGAGAGTTGAGGGTATATTTAATAAGTAGATTTATACCATAAGATTGAGATTGTTGGTACATGAAATTACAATATCATGCTTGATTACAAATTTTATTAATTGGATTATATCTACGGCGGACATTCAACCTGATGAAATTGGCAAATTTTTAATATTGAGAGGGGCCGAGGATCACAATTTTAAGTATGAAAGAAAAAAAAAATACATAATAAATGACTATCTCACTAATTTAATTAGATAATTAATTCCACATTGATTCATGGACTTATTAGTTCGGTTAATCAAACAATTCCTAAGAGTACTATTGTAAATGGTGAGAAGATGGGTAACTATTTACTAACAATAATGTTCGACAATGCTACGTAACTCAAATTTTGTAGTTCAAAAGTGGCTCAAATGGCCAAAACGACGTCGTTTTGAGTACAGAACAACATAAAAATAGCCAAAACAACGTTTTGGCCATTTAAACTACTTTTGAGCCACAAAATTTGAGTTACGAGATATTACTCCAATAATGTTATAGTCCATAAATTATGCCCCGAATTCTATCTAGAAACAGCCTTGTATAACTCAGATTCATTTTATGTTGAGACTCACACTACACTAGTTTAACCCACACAAATACTTCACTTAAAAAAATCTATGTGAATAACTTTGAGAGCATTATGGATTTATTAAAGGGTGCAAAACTTCTTGAAATGTGACTTTTGCTG